ATATAATATTTTGATTATTTAGAACCTTAACTGATTTTAGAATTCAGATAAGGAGATTAACTATATAAAATAGTCCTTTTTATAAGACAAAATGATATTTCATTGATATTTTGATAACTAAAATTTTTATCTGATCTCAAAATTTGAGTAAAATAGCTAATTACATAAAAAATATTAATATTCTTAATATATCTTATTTATAATAAATTGCATTGTTTATTTAATTAATAAACTAAAAAAATTATATTTTTTATTCAATATATTTATAATAATAAAAAAAAAAGCCCTCCTTGCAAGATAAAATGATATTACATTGATGAGCTTGTGGATTCTATTGATTGAAACTCCAAATGACGAAATTCTTAGGATCTATTTCATGGTGAGAACAATAATTCAACCATGAGCTATGAGGTAACTACTCTTATTATTATATAAAAAATGAAGTGTATTTTGACAATGATAAAAGTGCCACATATAAATACTTCAAGGTAAGCGTTGTTTGGATAAGTTTCCTTTGACTTTTAATATACACGTTGTCTCCAACATCTTATGCCTATCTCTTTCATTTATTAAGTTATATACTTAATTAATTAAGCATTGTCATCTTAAAACTAATGACACTCTAATTTACAAAGCAAAATGTGCTGAGATATTGTTCGTTAAGAAACCGTTGTAGCATTTGCCATTGGTCATCGATTTCGAGCATTCAACTAGTTGAGACTGCATCTTGTCATGAAGCGTCAATGGTCATAATTTCTTTGTACTTTCAAGCTTTTACGTTATCCGTAGGACCACTTTCGACAGCAACCTGTAGGGTAGACGAATCGCCATCGTAGCTTGAATTCAATGTCCCATCTCTAGATTCGATCACGTAACTTTCAAACAAAGACCTTCCATCGTAATAAAATTCTGCTGAATTCTACTTTCAAACCAATCCAGCAGCCAGATCCCAATTGAACGTGTTTTTCAGTCATAGCCAAATTAAAAGCATGAGTTTTTTTATGGCACGTATGGGGTTTTATAGTAAATCTGTTAAATATTACACGATCGAATCCACATATAATATATTAAGGCATGCATATAAATTCAAGGTTGTGTTAGTGTCATTATTGTTGGAGATGTATCTATACACGGGATCGGCAATACGAATAATCTTTCAGTTTAATTTGTAAGAGTTTATGGGAAGTAAATATTTAAATAGATGGTAGGGACACTAATCTTTGAATCCTTCTATTTTCTTCACTCGCTTTCTTTGATTATGTACGCTTCATGTTTTTATTTTATTAGTCTCGCAATCCCAACAAAAACCCACCTCATTCTTATTCTTTTTAATATAAACTCAACCATGGCTTCCATGGAAATCATGATAAAAAGACAATGATATTTAATAAAAAAATTAATTTATATGAATTTTTTAATGGAAGTTCCTAGTAAAGTAATCGAAACTATATATCTGGGAGCAAAATTTGCAGTAACCCTATAGTAGGAAGATATTTTTGGAGGTATGCTCTTATGTCCCTTAATTGATAAGTTTTTACTCATGCTTCATTTTCTCTTATAAAATGATCAGATTCTTTGAGAAGTAACCTCAATCTGCAAAAAACTATTTCAGCATGACAGTTTAAATACACACAAGTATATTATAGTTTTCCTCTAAGGTATAAATCATGAAAAAACTCTTTTTTTATATATAATTTTTTTTTTAATTTAAGATATTTTAATGAATATTGATATTTCATATAAATAGTATTTTATACTAATAAAAATACAGTATAAAATTATTGAATTGTAAATTTAAATTTAGAAGTTAGAGAGAAGGTATATAAACATGATATAAATTTAAATTTGAAATCTCATTTTATAAAAGTGTAAAAAATTATACCGATAATTTTAATTTCAAGCTTGTTTGGATAAAATAAAAAAATGAAACGTCAAAGTTAGAAAATCTCGTTGTTTCTAAACCCTTATCCAGTTATCCTCGTTCCACCAGCTCTTGTTTGAATTCTTAAGCGTGTTTCAAGGTCAACAAAAACGAAAATTACAGGCCTTGTGTTAGCGTGAATGCATAAGAACATAAAGAACAAACTTTTAGCTTATCCTACATTACATTCTTGGAGATATCTATACATATCCATACATGTATAGATTTGCATTCCCCTGAAATTTTGCAAAGCCTTCGAATTTCTGCACACGGTATGTTTTAATTAATATTGTTCTTCAATT